ATAAGGCCGGAGTATTAACAATTATACTGGCATGGTGGCCGAAGGATTATACTGGTGGCCGGAGTATTATTATATATACTGGTGGCATAAAAGGATTAAATCCTACAGATATATTTACTGAATTATTTTAAATAGGTACCAATTTCTATAACCATGTACAGACACAAAGAAAACACAAAACTTAAACTGTCACTATATGTCTATGTTATTTTTATGATAATATTTCCTTATAGATTTAATTAAACTTTGTACACACCTGTTGTTAAATTTTTCTGCAGCTAGTATAGACTGCATTATGTGGTTAATTTATATGCCTTACTGAATAAACATGCGGAAATCATAAATCATGGTTCCTTTAACTTTTCTAAGCGGCCGGACATTTACGTCTTTTACTCGGGCTCGATATCACAAATTTCACCAAGGGCGCCAATCTATCCCAAAAAGTGGAGGGGACGGACTCCAAATTATGAAGGTCCGGAGGTATGCTACCCGAAGTTTTTTTTAAAATTTTGGTACACTGAAACGGCATTCGCAGCGTTTTGGAGGCACTTATAAAGTTATATTACAATGTGCATGATCTTAAATCCACGTGAGAGATATGAGAATCAGGTTAACCATGTGAGAAATCCGCTTGTAAACAGACGTCACTCTCGACGAACATGTCCTCACTCTTTTTTATAATGCTAATAATCTATTAAATTTACCAATTGCCCTCTGCCATTTGCCTTATTTTGATTATAATCATCTATGTAGGAGAGACTCAGTTAATCAATATTTATTAGCACCTGGAAATTTACATATAACTTCTCTTCAGTGGCGGACACTTTACGAAATATTGAGGGGGGGGGGCAGTTCTCGTGCCAAAGGTACGGGAAAATTTTAAAATTTGGTTCCCGGAAATGGCATTTGCAGCATTCTGAGAACACATTTTGTAAAGAACTAGGTTTTCAAAACACTGTTTTAATGGTGCATTTAGTTATAAATCACACACTAAGCATAGAAAAACAACATTTCAGAGAAAATATTTACATGATTATTTACATTTGTGAGTGGAATTGCATGGTGGTTTCAGTGTTTTACATTGCAATGTAAAAATTTATTCGCTAAGTGAGTGAAATTTATTCGCTGCGTACGCTTTTGTTTTTGTTAACATAATTAAAATTGGAATGTTAATTGAATTATCCGGGCTCCCCTAGCCCCCCCCCCACCCTAGTGTCCGCCAATGATTCTCTTCATTAAATGTTACATAATATGAAGGTGCAAGCTAACTGTAGTAACCTTGTAGGGTTAGACGAGACAGTTAAAACGCAATTATTTTTAAGCAGTTTACGATTTTACATATGAGATATCAGTACCTGCTCCGAGCGGCTATATTAAATGTCTTCCTTTCAATCACAATTTTTTATGAACAGCATACCATGCATTAGGTTTTTAGATAACCAAGAAACAAAATTTCATTAAACATGTCAAAAAGTGAGGGGGGGGGGATAATTAGATATTCGTCCCCCACTCCAAAAACTGGGGGGACGCGTCCCCCCCCCCATCCCCCAGGATTGACGCCCATGAATTTCACAAACAAACTTTTAATATTTTTCAACTTGCAACAAAAAAGTATATATGCGAGAAAAGGCTTATCTCGAGAGATAAAAAACAAATAAAATATGCAGACATATATAAACTACTAAACTTAATTTCATATAACTTATATCGACTTGTGGGCAAGTCTAGTTATAAGACACTAAAGATGATTTTTAAATTAGCAGCTATATACAAATTGAATTCACATAGGGGAGAAGAGTAGCAACTAAGAAATACACAAGCTAACATGGACATAACGCATCTAATATATGGGGGAGATAAGCAGCAAAAAGGCTCCGTTAATTTGTCTTGGTGCAGGCCGGAGTATTACTCTGGTGGCCGGAGTATTATTATACTGGTGGCATAAAATGATTTCTTCCAGATATCTTGCAGTGTCATTATTATCTATATTAAAGTTTAGTGAAGACAATAATTCCATTCCTGCAGTGTGAAGATTTACTTAACTACTGAATCATCAGTTTTAACAGGTAATAATTTCTATAGCCATGAACAGATATTGAAAAGAACTAAATGCAAAACTTATTTAGTTTGCTTACTTTGGTTTCAACTTGATTCTATGAAAATAATAATCTTTTTGAACGAGGGGCAAATCACTCCTAAAAAGTGTACGAGATAAAAAAATCATGTGATTTTTTTGTGATTTATCGCACTGGCACCGTTAAATCTAGGTAGCCTAACAATCTCCAAAATCGTATAGCTAAATTATATAGCTGACGTTTTCTACAGAAGATGCATCATGCAGTACAGACAATTTTGCAAGACCGACAAAATATGGCACAAAAGACCAACAAATATCTACTATAGTTGATTACTGCGAGAGCGTGATGTGCCGGCTAAGCTGATCTGACCTTTGCATGGTCAGCTTCTTACAGCATTTTGTCGCCTCTTACTTCAATATCGCGGTTGTTGCATCCCCGAGTTTCTCGCTGAATTGCATGGGATGAAAATCCTAAATAATTTTAGTAATTACAGCCTTTCTCTGCACGCCGCCATTTTTGGGTGGCTTTTCAGCCGAAGTCTGCGAGATAAGTCCACATAACAGCGACTTTTTATAATTTTTTGGACGAATGGTGGTAAATTGCTTTGTAAATGGTTAGTTTATTTTGAAAAATTGCTTTTCACATTGTTTTAATTGTCTGCATTGGTTAACGAAAATTAGATGCCACCCAAAAATGGCGGATATTCGTCATCGTGAGAAAGGCTAATAGACTGGGTTTTTATCAGGTTCTTATTTAATATACAATAAAACTTTACTTTAACACGGTAAAATCTTCAGTATATTAGTTAGATAGAAAAAAATAATTACAACTGATTTCCAAGATTGCCGTGTGGCAGTCATTTTACGAATTATAGTAATAATTGAACGAAGCATTCGTATATTTTGAGGCAGATTATTCCATAATAAGGCTCCACTATAACAAAGGCTTCGTTTTAAATAGTTAGTTCGTGGCTTGGGCAAATTAGCTTTATTTCAGAGTTTCTTAAGTTGTACCCACTGCCGTGAACAGAGAAAAGATTTTGTAGGTAAGATGGTGCATCACCATTGAGTATTTTAAACATAATTCCAGCCTTAATCTTTTTGCGTCGTAAACAAAGATTGTCTAAGTGCAAATTATTCAAAAGAGAACTAGCGCTTATTTAATATACAATATATTTTTTAGCAATGACTGGCGTTAAGTTGGCAAAAGCTTTCGGTTTCCTGCTCATGGTCGTGATTGTATGTTCCAAGCAAATTCCTGAAGAGCAACATTCAACCTATCCGGCCACAGATGAAGCTCATTTTACCACTAGTGCACACGAAAACCACGACGAAGACCTGAAAGTTAATGTAGGAAAGAGGATGCTTGATCGTGAAGTGTACGAAGTTGGCACCAAAGTTGTAGATGGTGTTGAGTGGCAAGTGTGGTTTCACATGAATCCCAAAGCAAACATCGCCCGCCTTGCAAATCTCAAAAACAAAAAAAAAAGAGGAAAAAAAAAAGACCTAGCTGAGTTCATAGATAGTCTTAATGTAAAGAAGGTTTTTTCTGGCATTTGCGATAAGAAGACACTGGTCACCTCGCGTAAAAAACATTTCCGCCTTGACATGCAAAAGGTAGTGAAATGTATCCAACTAGAAAATAATCCATCTTGTTACAATCTGCAAGTGCAATTGAATGGGAAACGTAAAAAAGGCAAAAGTACTACATACGCTAATGTATTAATTCCAGTGCTTATAGGTAAAGATCATGTCTCTAAGTACCTGACCGATGAAGTTCTTCGTGAGGCCTTTTACAAAAGTTCCAAACTCCCCACCGCTGCGGTGACGCTTGAAATTAAGAAATTAGTCCAGGAAAAGAAAAAAAGCAGGAAGGGAAAAAGAAAACCGGGAAAGAAAAATAACCAGGGATAGAACCGAAAATATTGTGCTACATATCATAACATTGTTGTAAACAACGCGCATGATAACTTCGGGAACAACACTGTTCCCGTGTAATGTTAAAGAATATAATAAATATTGTAGCCTTGGAGTTGTGTGTCAATACTGAGTACAGTTCGCATGCTCGTTTGTAAAAAGCCATTCGCAAAACTCATTTCTCGCATTGTCTCCTTGAAATACCCGTTCGTCACCGCCACCGGCCTCGTTCTGAATCACGAACAAATTTGATTCATGGTCCCGTTTTCCTGGCGACATTCAAAATCAAAGAACATTAATTCGTTGTAACTGCTTTGAGGCCGAGTGCCGGAGTAATCATATGGCGCAAGGCCACGGGCCCCGCGCTTTTGGGGGCCTCGCGCTTATACTCTTTTTTATTCAAGTGAACCATGCATGGTTATGATTAACTTTTTGAATTAGGTTGAATGGTAATGGCAATGATATTCAAGGCCGATTACCATCCAAGTTGAATGGTTTTGCCAATAATATTCAACGGCATAACCATACAAGTTGAACTACCCATTCGTCCGGAAAAAATGATCGTGTTTTGATGTTCTTTTGAAACGATATTGATTTGATAATCAGATAAATACGTTTGAGATAGTTGGACTTCGTCTAAACCGCGGTGCCTATCGGACTGGCGGGTTTTTTATGGAATTCGTGTGCTAATAACGCGTTTGCACTGAACCGTCTCTGATAAGTACATGACGATACCGCCGGACTATCCTTTTCAATTTTCAAAATAGAAACAGCTAAAGCCGTAGCTAAACAAAATTCATCGGTGTTTCGAATACGAATAATTGAATTCTTTTTAGCCAAATGTTTTTCTAGAACTGAATTTCACTTCGCTTAGTACCCATACCGCCGTTAGACATTTCAAAGTAAATTGACGATGACCACTATATCATTCAAACGAAATTTGTGATTAAACTCAATAACACGCTCAATTTCAGCTGAAATATGTTCGGTTGCAAGTCGATGACGAGGCATGAAAGGAAGAGAAATGAGGTATCAGGCGATCGCAAAAACAAAAAGGATTTGATCGTGCGTGGGGATATCGTGCATGTATGACAGTATTCAATAAACTTTCCAATATTTCGTGAAGGCGCGGTTGTGGTATTGAGAAAGTTCCAAATTGGTATACGTGTTCCTAAATTGAATAGTACAATCCACACCTGTCGAAAACGAGCCTCTGATTACTCACCGCCACTACTCTTGTCAGCGGACTCCTTCCATTTCATTACTGGACCAAATGACAGTGCATACATACCGGACACACACTGTAAAAACAGATTGGTTAAAATAACCAACTTGAATTGGTTGTCTCATATGGCTTGAACAGTTTAATTACGTACAGTTATTATCCCTTCATTCTTTCTCGCGGGGTATTCTCCGGGAAAAGTTTTGAGACGGCTTGTTAGACAACTTTCAGAAAATATCAAGCCCATCGCATTATCCTTAGCAGCTAGTACGTCACGTGTTTACACAAGACAGATGTTTCACACTTACATATAGATTTATATACAGAGGTTGGAGGCTTAATATCAGATACATACCCGAGAGGCCGCAGGCCCTGAGGGAATGTATCTGACATAAAGCCTCCATCCTCGGTATACAACTCATACTTATTTAATAGAGTCGGTTTTCTTGGTTCTTCATTGGTATATAAATCCGATACAATCTTAAAGCAAGGGAAAGGATTTGATATCTCCCCAGGGAAAACTATAGGGTTTGAATACTCTCTCCTCCGCAGAGGTTTCGGTCCGCGCGTCTTCCACACAGCAGTTCGATACGGTAAGCGCCATGTAAAGCTCGTTGAAACCTCTGCAGAGGAGAGAGGTTTGAATAAGAAATGAATACATATAACAATAGCGAGCTTAATTATACATTCAAGGTACATTATCCATGCAGTTACATATCCGGTATTTAACCAAATATATACCTCCCACCGGGCACACGACGTTGTTTCAACGTTGAAATTTGGTAGAAAAAAGGTTGCGACGTCGACAACCTAATATCTACGTTGCTCTGACGTTGTTTTACAAACAGTAGCGACCTTAAGCAAGCGACGTTTTTGACAACACGAACGGCATGAGTAACATTAAAAGACTGGGTCAAGAATGTTGATTGGTTGATAACGTCAAATT